GAAGAAGAAGCGATCGCTGGAACAAGGGCTTTATTCGCCTGACGTTTCGGATTCTCACTTGAACCCATCATCAGAGACAGAGGCAGAAAAGGGTGACTCGCGCACAGGAAGTTGCAGTATTTATAGGATGCAGTCGCTATGCTACCGCATACCTATAGCAATTAACCGTGCTCCCCTTCATCAAGGATTGTTGCCCGCTGCTGCGCTAATTGCTTGATGGCCGTCATGCAAGTTGTTAATTGCTGAAATCTAATCACCCGTGTTGGATGCTGGCGTGATGATTGCTCGGCCATCTGGCTCACCGGCTTGCGCGCTCCCCGAGTGGTCAATTACTTTGGCCAGCCTATGCCTCAGCAGGGATATGGAGTGGGGATGCCGTTACACTTGTTGATAGACCGAGGTCCCGTGAACCAGGACTCAAGGAACTCGCGGCTCACGCGATTATCCCATCTTGCGAGAATTTCGGCCTCATCGAACTTGAATGTGTGGCCGGGTCTCGTCGAATGGGCCGCGACCTGAGAGTTGGCGTCATTTCTCCGTACCGCTGCCACATGTTCGGCAATTTGCGTCCAGAGCAGCCTTCCAGTTTCTCCGACGTACTTGCTTTGTCCGCAACTGCACCAGATCTGGCAAACGATCCCTGATGAAGAGGGGAGTCGTGAATATCCATCGGTATGCGGTAGCATAGCGACTGCATCCTATAAATACTGCAACTTCCTTTGCACGAGTCACCCTTTTCTGCCTCTGTCTCTAATGGTGAATTCAAGTGAGAATCTGAAACGTCAGGCGAATAAGGCCGTTGTTCCAGCGATCGCTTCTTCTTCTTCTTCTTCTTCTTCTTCTTCTTCTTCTTCTTCTTCTTCTTCTTCTTCTTCTTCTTCTTCTTCTTCTGATCAACTAGTTCCTGAAACTCGCATCTTCGCTTGTATCGGTTAGGTGATTCCATACTAACAGCACAGGTAATAGTCAAAAGCCCATACACGCGTGTTTCGCTGATTTTCTGTCGCTGCATGACACAGCTGCGAGAGGTTCGACTCGTCAGTGGTCCCCCAGCATTCCCTGTCTGCCTTCTGGTAGATACTGCAATTTAGAACTTGTTGCCTTTTGATATCCCTAGAAATTGACTGCGAACTTGGAGTAGATCAGTATATTTAAGGTTTATAGACTCAGACCGCAGTTTATTTGTATGAGTATTTGGGCCGAAGTCCATCAACCACAGCGAAAAACGGCGTAATATTCATTAACTGCCGACAGGCAGCTAGTAGTATTCTGCCCATGGCGTACGTCCCTTTGTCAATGGGGAATGGAGAATGGACCATGGTAAGCAGTATGACTTTCGCTTGCGTAGTTCTCAACCAACCTGCCCTTTTGTATAAGCTGTTCATGGCTACTATTTGACGAAAGAGAGAGGTTATTTCGAGATGTTTTCCATCCACGAAATTAAATCTTTCCCTTCTGAGCTGGAACCTTTATACCTGAGCATCTACTTTTCAGGTAGCCGCTCTCTGCATTTGTTTTGCCAAATGGATGAGGCCTTCTTCAAGGCACTGACTTGTTCACTACTGGGCAGTGATCCGGACCCCTCAATCCAGACAGCCACAGCCGATCTAGCCAGGGACATATGTGCAGCGCTTTCCAGATCACTCCGGAAGATGCCAAAGCCTTCGGAGATTTCTAGGTACTCTCATCTTTTCTCGACTTCGGTCAAATCCCGAAATCGTCATCTCTGCTTTTATTGTTTCGTTGGACACGGGTGACCTTGCGCTGGATCCTGCCGGGGGGGAGGAGTATCTATTCCCGCGTTGTAACTCTGACACTAACCCGAACACCCCACATCCCTGGAATTTACCGCAAGGCACTTTTAACCGTTCCCTACGTTCATTGTTAGAGTTGATGTGTACTTTGAGAGTTTAAGTAGCACAGAAACTGCGTGGTGTTCTAGTCCCCCGTCGGTGTGTTTTGTGCGACGGGTCAGGTTTAATTCGATTTTTTGCCCCATCGCAGATTAGGGGTTCCCTCTCGATGTGTACTGAGTCATATTTGCAGTCATGGGTGCCACGGGTCAGAATACACGTCATTAAATGCGTCATAAAGTCGGACCTGGATGACCACCCTGTAATTCCCGTGAACAAATCCCCTAGCAGATGAGGCAGAGTACGTAGTCAGTATTTAGACCGCCAGCAATGCT